TTATGCTCACCAAGGCTGCATTTATTTGATAAAAAATACAGTAAAACAACAATAATAATAATATCATATTATTTCATTATATTTCATTCATCAGACATATTTCATAAATTCAGATTAATATCAAAATGATTATTATTTATTTTAATTTTTTAAAATGTAATTTATTCTTGTGATGGCAAAGCTGAATTTTTAGCAGCCTCCAGTCTTTAGCATGATCCTTCAGAAATCATTCAAATATGCTGATTTGGCATTCAAGATACATTTCAATGATGAAAAGATTTATTTGTATTTAATTTTTTTTGTTATATAATAGTAATTAATAATAATTTAAATAATAATAAATTGTAGTAATAATAATAATAAGAAGAAGAAGAAGAAGAAGAAGAAGAGGAAGAATAATTTTATTTTATTTTGTTTTATTTTTGGAAACTATTATTCATTTATTTCAGGATTCTTTGAGGAATAGAACGTTTAAAAGAACCGCATTTATTTAAAATTCCTGTAACAATGCAGAAGTCTTTACTGTCACTCTTGATCAAAAACGTTTGAATGGCAGTGTACTCCTTTTCTTAAAAATTTTTAAAAAAAAATAAATAATAATAATAATAATAAATAAACATGCTTTGAAAGTATATAGAGTATATATGAAGAATATATATAAGACCAAATATTAGCTTTTATTTCCATTTTAATTTGTTTTAATAAAAGTGTGCACATAGGTTGATGGCAAGGAGACATTGGAAAAGAATTGTGGAAAGGGCACAAAAAAGTCATCTTCATGATTAAAATAAAATAAAATAGTTGCCATTTTAACAACATGGCATCAGATAGTCATTGCTAAAGTTATTTTTTTACCTGGTGAATGTACTATAAGAAGGACACATCCTTCTTCTAGAATGTTACTTGTAAAGAGTAAACATTTTAAAGAGTACAAAGGAGGCAATAAGGTGCAAGACTGTCAGCAAACACTCTTTATTTTTCCCTCTCACACCAAGCTAAAGTTCCAAGCGTTGCTTCAGCACAGTTCACAGGTGCGCAAATAAAACATGTCTACAGGGGCGCGTTAGAGGTGCCCAGTAGGAGAGTTCTGAGCTCTTTTATCAGATAGTGATTTGCGTCAGGTTAACGTGTTTCACGGGCCAATTGCTCAGGAGCGTCTAGTAAGCAGAAATGTGTCTGGCCTGGGGTATGATGTTTGGCATACAAGCGTGCGTGTTTGTGTTTGAGGCAGAGAGACAGGACGTGCTGTGTGTTTCGCTGCCTCTGCTTTGCGTCGTGCGCCTCCCGGGGGTGTGCGGAATGCACGCGGTTACGGCAGCGCTCGGAGAAGGGAGGAATGAATAAGTGATGTGGGCTTTGGGGAGGCCTAGCTCTGAGGCGGTGGGGCTGAGAGATTGAGGCACAGAAGCGAGGCAGATGCTAGCGCCTCAGCCATCACCGCGTTCTCAGGTGGGGCCTTGTGAAACTTCACACTGTGAAAAGCAGATAAATCTTCTTTCTCTCCTTTTCTTCTCACGAACCCCTCCCGTCACACTCCCAAACGCGTCCCTGCGCTGTTGTTGTTGTTTCATATTCATTCTCATTTTCCCCACATGGCTCTCTGTGTTGTCTACCTGTTTTTAAGGCTGTGTATGGCTTCCCATCTCTCCGTTTCTCTTTATCTCTATATGAATCTATTCTCCCCAATGGGTTTACCTCTTTTTTCAGTCACCTTGGACTCTGTGGTTCGGCTCGTTGCCTCTAAGGGAGGATTTTTGGTCCAGTCAGGCAAAAACAAGCTGGGAAAATGGGATAATCAGAAAGAGTTGTGGAAAAACAAGACTTAAAGAGATAGGTCACCCTTCATGTACTTACCCTCATGTCCTTGCCAAACTGTCCTTTTGGGTTCAATATCAGCATTCTTCAAAATAACTTGTGTTTGTTCCACAGAAGAAAGTAAATCTTACAGGTTTGGAGAAACCTGAGGATGTCTGAAGATGAAGATTACAGAATTTTTATTTTTGGGTAAAACCTGCTCGAAATACTGAATTTAGCCGAGGGTACACAGTTTAGCTTATCCCAGAAATTATATATCTGCATTTTTCAGCAATTTGACTATACTTCAATATTTTTTTCCCCCAACAGCCATCATCTTTAAGATTCAAAATGTTTATTGCAAAATGTAAAATACAGTAAAATCTAGTTAAAAGTAATCCAGTCATGTTGTTTTGTTGTTTTAACTAAATTAATGGTATTTAATCTTTTCGTTTAATAAGTACCAATATAACAATATGATAATAAACAGCAATTGTTTTATTTTATTTTATTTTTTATTTTGTTGATTCAGGATTCTTCGGGAATATTCAAAATAACAACATTTAATTTTATATTAATTTAAATAAAAATATAAGAAATTAACATTATAAATGTCTTTACTATCACATTCAATAAACTTACTATGGCCTTTCTGAAAGCTTGCTGTATTCTTGCTGTAAATCTAGTTAAAAGTAATCCAGTCATGTTGTTTTGCTGTTTTAACTAAATAAAAGATGAATGGTATTTAATCTTTTCATTTAATAATTTATAAGAACCAATATAACAATATGAAAATAAATAGCATAAAAAAATATTTTTTATTTATTTTCTTTTTTTTTAAATGTCTTTACTGTCACATTCAATAAATATACTGTGGCCTTGCTGAATTCTTGCTGTATTTTTTACAACATTTTAAAATATGTAAAATGCCGCTGTTGAACATATTTTAGTGATGATGCAAGCAAATCTTCAAACTTTTGATTTGAATTAATCTATTCAAAGCTCTGATTGAAAGCTTTGAATCAGCTCATTCAAATGAGGCAAGTTCACAGTTCACAGGCAAGAATCAAACTTGACTGAGTTGTAATTTGAGTCATTTCTGTGTCACTTGCGTCAGCAAATTTCATTGAAATATTTTTGCCTCACTCTCATGCACTCATATGGCTGCAGGACAGGGAGTGATTGTGAAAACATGTCTAATGACAGTCTGTAGCTAATGGTCACATAAAAAGTGCATTCAAATCACACCTTCCTAATCATACATTGCTTATCATCACAAATATGTCATGAATATTTGATATATAATCTGGTTTTAGCATCACACCCTGCATCAGACAAGCAAGAAACAGGGCAATTGAATCAAATTGTGTAGTGCCTTCATAAATTGCCTGTGTATTTCTGAGAACTAGTAATCCATTCTTCCTGTGTATCTCTTCTCCTCAGCACCATTAGAGCAGACAGGCTCTCATACCGCAGATCAGCTGCAATCACAGACAAACACTCATCTCCACTCAGGTCTTTCAATAATTGCTGACCACAGGCAGCATAGGTAGCCATTACCCACCATGAGGCCGTCCTAAAGACCCTGGCAGTCCATGTTTGCCATTTTTGCAACAACATCCATACTATAAGCTTCATGTTTGGTCTGTATGTCTGGTTGTTTCTGCAGTTATTGCCATTTTTATGTCTTATGTATTCCATGTCAATATGTATTATTTATATACATTTTCATAGAAATTAAAGCATGAGCAAAAGTTTTTGGTAACACTTTACTTAAAGCCTTAATTTATAATGCATTATAAAAGTAGTTTTAATGCATTAGTTATGCCTTGTAATGAACCTTATAATGCATTGTACAATTTCATGAATAATTGTAACCACAGTTAATACATTATAACACCTAGCAATTCATTGTTATACTATTAATTTTAGGTTTGGTTATAATTATGTACAACAAGATATAATGTATTACAACACACGTTATGAATAATTATAATGCATTATACCCTTTAATAACCCTTTATAATGTATGTAACAAAGTTCGTAGTTCGGGAAGAAGGAGACGGGAACCGGCGAACATTTAAATTTCTTTTTAGCAGCATCATATGACCCCTTTAAGTAAAGTGTTACCAAGTTGTTTTTCTAATCCAAAAATCCAACAATTTTGCTTGAGATGAAACTAGACATTGTTATTGTGTATCACTTTCAATCAAATTAGTTTTATCAAATTCAGAAAGTAGGAAAATATTATTCAGTAATTTAGGTTAAATGCAAAAGCTGAGTATGAAATTAGCCTGAAGACAAAGATGTGTTTTTTATTTTAAAATATTGCAAATTTAATTTGAATTGAGTGATTATAGTTGAGGTAGAAATGGCATTTATTCATGGTGGTTCTGGTGATACTGATAGTATGCACATTATACAAACTAGTAATTTCGAAAAAGTGTGTATTCTTAACATTTAAAAGGGCCCATAATTGAAGAAACACCCCACTGTGTCATATCAGTGTGCAAATGGTGAAAGAAAAAGTGTGAAGTGTAAAACATCTCTGGATATTATTTTTGTGCCATATACCTGATTATTCTTAAACATGGTAAATTTGTATTTCTTCAGCTGGCAACACAGAATGTTCCTTTTATTAAAAATCCTGTCATCCATTGAAAGTTTTCTTCAGGTTTCATTCTAAGATGAAACTGTTTGCCAATCATCTCACATTGCAAGTGAAATCTCAATTGCCTGACACTGAAAGCAACCAAAGAAGCACTTTATTTCCTCTGTCAATTACTGCCAGAAACAGCTGAATCTTTCCTTTTTGCACGTGTGTGTAAATCACTCTCTTCCTCTCTCTCTCACAGCTCCAGGTATCCACCACTGACCTAAGTGGCAGATTGGTAGAGGGACCTGTAGACCTGGACGTGTCTGTTATTGACCAGAATGACAACCGACCGGTGTTCAAGGAGCCGCGTTACTCTGGGGAGGTTCTGGAGGGCTCCCCCACAGGTACTCTTCCCTGACCTAACAGTGCTCATGCTCTTGCAGTTGGAATGGATGTGTCTAGGGAACTGATTACTGGAAGAAGAAAGTCGAGATCAGAGTTGGCTAAGGGTCTAAAAGTCTTTGATAATAGTGGTTGGAGAGAATATATGGTTCGGTTTGATGGAACATACTGTAGCCTGTGGACGATAAGGATTGTAACTTTTGTGGTTTCTCATTAGTTGGGTTTGAATCTCCTTTATTTTGGTGCATACTTAAAGTCCGCATGAAATCAAAATTGACTTTATTTACTTTACTAGCGCACATTGCTAGTAATGATGTGAACAATTAATCCGTGCAAGTTAATCCGCTGAAAAAAATTGTTTGTGTTGGTAATCTTTAATCAAACTCTGAACATTTACTTCCGCTCTGGAATGGCATTCCTTTTCTGATGACGTCAGTTTGACGGCTTGGGCAGAATATCCTTTTAAACACACCCCTCCAACCGTTAGATTGCTATGAGTGAGAGACAGAGAGGAGGAGTGCAAACATAAAACCATGCCCTCTATTCGATATTCCGTTTCAGATGGAAATATGTCACTACACTGAAATAAAGTCGGCAGCAACTTTCGGTTCACGCTGACTTTAAGGTTGACAGTTCTACACATTTGAATGATACCTCAAATTTTGTTGGCTGTTTAAAAAGATGTGTGCTTTTTACTTTGAGTGAATGTATGATTTTCACCTGGCAGAAGGTAGAACTGGTGTAAATATGCCATAGACGTACTGAAGGAGGGATCTGAGCAGTGATTCTCAACGAGGTTTCATTTGCAATGAAGATAAGCATGGTTTGTGTCGACCACAATGTTGTGCAGTTGAATTATTGGCATGAAACCAATTGAAATTAAAAAATATATATATATATATATTTTTTCCTTTCTAGCTTAGTGTGTTATGCCAATAATTCAACTGCACAACAATGTGGTCGACACAATTACATTTTAAATGTTTGGGGTCAGTAAGGTTTTTTTATTTTTTATTAAATTGATCAAAAGTAACAATAAATATGAAAAAATATATATTTTTGAACTTTGTTCACCAAAGAATACTGTTTCATTGATTATTTATAAAATTGATAAATGTTTATAATAATAATTAAAGAAGAAAGAAGAACTAAGAACTAACTAAAGCACCAAATCAGCATATTACAATGATTTCTAAAAGATCATGTGACACTGAGGATCGTGTGACACTTTTTTGTGTGTGATGGCAATGCTGACTATAATAAAGGGGGAAAAAAAATAAAAATAATAAAATAAAATCTTACTGAGCCCAAACATTTAACCTGAAACAAAAACAGCTGAGAACCATTGATTTTGGATGGAGATTGTAAAGACTTCTGAGTTTTTTTTTTTTTTTTGACTCAACCACCTGTGAGTTTTGCACATGCAGGCCAACATCACTCAGTTCTCTTCAGAAAATATAATACTTAAAAAAAAAAATCAGTTTTTCAGATTTCATCATCTTACTACAAGAAGAATATGCTACACGAATAATGTGTTTTACATCATGGCATCTAAAGCGTTTGCAAAGGGTTGCGCAGGATCTCTTTTGTTTCTTCTCAGCATAGCTATAAAGCAAAAATGACATGTTTTATTTAAAAAAAAAAAAAAGTAGTGCGCTTTGGAAGTCATCCCTAATGAGCAAACACATTATCTCTGAGCGTGTATGTTCACACCACGCGCCACAGAGATATCTTTGACGAGCTAATCGTGAGCATCTCTCACAAATGGCAGCCGGCGTTTATCTCGCCACAAGAGAATGCTACATTGTTTTCATGGTGTGTCTGATAAATCAAAAAAGAATTGGACCATTTACAAACTGCATGACACTCTCTTCAGTCCCGTGCCCTCCAGAAATAAGAAATTCATTTAGACACAACCCTGTCCTTAGAAGCCTCAGCACTGCACTTCCTTTTCTCAATCCTTCAATAATTTTCCCCATGATTCTACAGCAGTTCCTTCACAGCACTTTGCTTCTTTCTTTTCCACTTACAATTTTTTTGTGGTTTTTGTGGCATGTCACCATTGAGACCCCAAAACACAAGAAACATGGTTTCAGAGAAAAAAAAAGGGATTTCGCCAACCTTCATCACCCACACTAGCACCAAAAATACACCCCACAAACAATTAAACATACCCTTGTAGCTCAAACAGGCATGTGAACTCTAAATCAATGAGAATAGCGAGCATAATAGGACGGGAGAGATCATATCAAATCTTTTTCTCTGTCAAGAGTGGGCTGCGCTGCTTTCATTACAACATAAACAAACAGACATCAGCCTCAGACATCAGTGATGAGGACAGGATGAACCGATCCAGGATCAGCTGCGCACAGTTCCTCACAGGTAGAATAGAAGGATACAACGTGCCTGTTTTCGGATACATTTAGCCCGGGAACGGTAATGTGTGCTCAGTCAGGAGTGAGTTAGGGTGGAAGGAGATGAGAGTCCCTAACAGTGGGAAACTTTCTGCCCGCTTCCAGAGTTGCTGTAACTTAGTTAAGCAAAGTGGGTTTATCTAATCGTCAAAAGAGGAAATTAAATTTGGCTGAAAGATTTAATGAAATTAAACTAAGACCTTCATGCGACCAGGGAGAAGATAAGCACCCACAGGCCAAGCACTGTTCCATTGGCTTTAGTCAGAAACTGTGTCTATATATAGGAAAGCTGTGTCTTGTACTATATAATAAGTATATTGCACGTTAAATGCAGAGCACTAATTCCAAGTATGGGTCACCATACTTGGCCACATGTCACGTCACTTTTTTCACTTTTCACTTTCATAATTATAAAAATGCTAAATATTTTTGTTAAATATTTATATTAATAAAATATTTTGCATTATGTCTTTCAACCGTGTATTGATTTATTTATTCATTCATTCAATCATTCATTTATTCATTCATTTAGTTATTTTTACTTTGTGTATATATAATCTGAAAAAAGTTTTTAAAATGTTTGTAGTATTAAAAAAAATACGTATACTAGTATGTGTGTGTGTGTAAATATATATGTAAAATGTATATATAAAATAAAAACTATATAAACAGTGCATTTCTAAAATACTATATACTAATAAATATTACAAAGGTTTTGAAAACATGTTTATACACAAACACACACACATGCACATAATATATATATATATATAGAGAGAGAGAGAGAGAGATTAAATATTTATATTGGAAAAATAGGTTTGAAGTAGCATATAATTTGAACTGAAGAGGCGAGTGTGTAGTGTTTTTTTCCCCTCCCTTAATATAAATTTTAAAAAAAGTTTCACTGTCTTATATAAATACACTTTATTGCCATCAGGACTGAGTGCCTCTTTTAAGTTAATTTATTTTTTTGGCTCTTATTCTTTGCTACATTTTCATTGGCATGCCTATCACCTTTTAAGATACCTTAATGGAGAAGATACATGATTTATGGAGAGTAGACCCATTTTAGTGTCTATTGCCTCTCAATTACAACCATTTTCCTTAGAATAAATTGATCATTTAAAAAGCCTCACACCATTCACCAATAAAAGGGGTGCTTTCTATAGTTCCATTATCTTTCATATTAATCAAACAAGTTGCTTTCATCATTTTCGAAGTGTCGTGTCCTGGCCAGTTGTTCAGAGGTGCAGAGTTCCTGTTCAGATTTCCATTGTCGCTGTTCTACTCAAGGAGCATGTGTGCAGTGCATTGTGGGTGCAGGTGCACACAGCAGGGGCTGGGTTTTTTTTTTTCCGGTGACTTCCTCTCTCCTCTTTAGGCTTGTGTATGTACGGGTGCAGATGTGCACAGCGTGCCTCCTCCGCTATGTCGAACTCTCCTGAGTGCCTGGCAAAGGGAGGATGAATGTGTATTGCTTTTTTAACGCCTCTTTTCAAAGGCCCTGTTAGGCACAAGACTTTGCCAGTGTGTGTCCGTGGAGGAAATGAAAAATGGGAATTGAGAGCTTTTTAAAGAAGCCTACATTAATCAGCACTGGAACCAACAGTCATGGGCCTCCCACTCGGGCCTCTGGTTTAAGATATTCTGCCCCTACCCCCCACTTGCTTTAATCAGCATGACCGCTGGCACAGGTTAGAAATTAAAGAGCTCAGCATGGTGCCTGATTAGTGAAGCTTTCTGCAAGCTGCCTTTTCAACAAGTTGCAAGGCTGTGTGACTTCATGCATGTGTGTGCATGTGTTTACTGCTGACAGTGTTATAAAGTGCCAAGTCAAGATGAACTGCTGAGTGAAACGACATTCAATGAGAACAAAATGTAGGGCAAGACTCTATAGATGGAAGGTGGTTTAAAGATAGATAAAATGAATACTTTTACACTGTGAAACTATTTCTAATTCAAATAAATCTGTTCTTTTGAACTTTTTATTCATCGAAGGATCTTAAAAAAATGTATCAAGGTTTCCATAAAAATATAAAGCAGCACAACTCTTGTTTTTAGCATTCAAATTATAAGATATTTTCTCTATTTCTTTCTTTCTTTCTTTCTTTCTTTCTTTGAGCAGCAAATCTGAATATTACAATAAGTTCTAAAGGATAATGTGACGCTGAAGACCGGAGAAATGGCTGCTGAAAATTCACCTTTGTTAGGGCAGCAATAAATTACATTTTTAAATATTTTCAGAAATATTTTCACAATTATTTTCAATTGTGAAATAGTTCACAATATTACTATTTTAATCAGATAAATGAGCATAAGAAAAGTCTTTCAAAAACATGAAAAAATCTTATTAACCCAAATTTTATTTTATTTTATTTTTTCACTGTCTTTTATATTTACTCCAGTCACTGTTACTATTTTTATGGTTACTTTGGTTGACTCAATAATAGTTTAGGGGCTTGACTTCTACAATTTGTTTATACAGACATTATTTGATCAATTTGGAGTCTCAATTTGAGAGTCCCACCTGTTTGTAAATGTGTTTTTCAATTCCAAACACTATCTATGTAATCAGAGCCAATAAAACC